AAAATAATATTTTCCATCACATCAATAACTTTTCTTTCATTTTCAACCACAAAAAATGTGTGATTTGACACAAAGAATGCATTTTTTTCTAGAATAATGGTTACCAAACGGTGCCTACATGTACAATTGAGGATGATAATATTGGATTATCAACACTTACAATGGGAGGGGCCCACTTTTTTTTGAAATTTTTTAATCATGCGGGACCCGCATGCATGTGAGAGGTTGTCAACTTTCATTGTCAACCATCAATTGTACAAATGAAATTACCCAATTCCGAATATGCATCTCTATCCATTCGTTAAGGTGGTTATTAATTAATGTGGAAAATTTGATCCAAGGAGAGAGTAGCAGTTGTTTACCTAAATCGTTCACCGTTGACCTATTAAAATAAAGAAAAAAATATTAAGTTAGTATATGATAAAGGAAAAGGACAATGTGGCATAACCTAACCTAATTCATCTTCAATTGATTGGTTAAGTATTTGAGCAAAATAAATACGAATTCAATATAGTTTCTAGATGCTGTGTTTGTTTGAAATTTGAACGTTAGAGCACAAGGATGACCACGGAAAAACTGGGTATACAAACGTCTCGTGTAAGTTCAACTCTTATAACAAAAATTAAGCAAATGATTCAAAGTCTTAACAATATCTCATATCAACTAGAATAATGTTTCGAGTCTAAACCCTGAATATATATATATATATATAATCTTTAATCAAATCACTCAACTTTGATTTGCTTAAAAATTTGACTACGTCGCCATTGTCGTCAGTCCAATTAACATAATTTGTTGAAGACAATGGATTGAGTGGCCAAGCAAATCAAAATTGAATAGCTTGATTATACTAAGTTAAAGATAAGTAACTTAGATGCAATTTCACTAAAAATTGAGTTGCCTTCGATGCATTCAACCCCTATAAAAGAAGAATACACTTTTACATTTAACTTTATTGAGGATCCATTTGGTAGCCTTTGTTTTTTGTTTCTTGTAGAAGAGTTTTCTAAAAAAATTATCTTAGATCACTCTCTTCTAAAAACTCTTTTAATCAAAAGATGCATTTTCGAAATTTATCTGGACATGTTAAAAAATAATTTGTTTGTCTTAAAAAGCTTTTGAAAAAATGCACTTTCCAAAAACTTGATCGTTAGACACACTGGCGAACCCGGGGTCCTATGGGGTCACGTGACCTCTCAGCTTTTGAATTTTTTTTATTTATAAAGTCCAATTTTGTATTGACTGAAATCTAAATTTCAATCTAAATTAAAGTTAACAATTAATTTTAATAATATATTTTATGAAATTTATAACTTTTCAACTTTCATCAAAAATTAATATATATCCGATTTTAATCCACACCAAATAATGACAAAATCAAAATAAATTTGAATTTTTTACTTTCTTCTCTTGCTCTCTCCTTCACGTCATTTACCAAAATTTTGACCCTTCTAATTTTTTAAAATTTCTCTATGATTTCTCTACAAATTATCATATCTACTACAAATCTTCACTTTTCAACTAATTAGAACCTAAATTTGCATTTTTTTCCTATCAAATTATGTATATAGATTGTGTATGAACTGATTATATCCAATTTGACTTATATTTAACGAATTGTGTTTATGTGATTGATTATTAGTATTGAATATTGGTTATATATATATTTTTTTCATTACTTGTATTGATTGTTTGTATCAAATACATT